ACATAGAGCACACACGATAGCTATAATGACTATTGCATGGCGCTCGGCGTGCTAACGGCCTACGCATGCAGTATCTGACCGGCAGCTGCCGAATCATGGCTGGTACGGTCGAAAGCTAAATGAGCGGCCGTATACAGGCCGATCTCTGTCTCGACGGTCGCTTCTAGCGAGCGCTTGCGCGCCTTGAACGCCTCGTAGGCGGCCTGCCATTGATGCGCGTCCTTGATGGCAGCGGCGAGCTCCGCGTTCGTGGTCGACCCAGCGGTAGCATATGGAGTTAGGAACCAGCTAGTGCAAAGAAGATCGCGTACCCTCGGCGGGGGCGGGGGCGTCCGGTCCGTTCGGTGCGTCCGTGGACGGGGGATGCGCGGGTGTCGTAGTAGGAGCGGCCGACGTCGTCGGGGCTTTCGCCTCGACAGACCTAAGTACTCACTCATACAGCACCATGGCAGCCTACACGCAGATCGTCGGCCATGGGCCGGGGCGTCTCCGCCGATCTGCGTGTAGGCTGCCATGGTGCTGTATGAGTGAATAATTAAGCCTGTCGAGGCGAAAGCAGATATGACCGCGAGCAAGGGTCAATAGTATCGTTCTCCGGCGGGCACGAACTCACCCCCATTTTCATGCTTGGCGTCCATTTCGTCGAAAACTGTGGCATTTGCTGGCTTTAGCAACATAAATGGAGGTAAGTTCGTGCCCGTCGGAAAACGATATTTTGCACACACATCTAAAACATGATTGTAAAGGTTTGAACAAAGTTTCGCTCTCCGGCGAGCACGAACTCAGCTCCATTTTAAGGTTCGTGTCTCCGAGGGTTGTCAAAGTCGGCACTATTTTCAGGCTAACGCGGTATTTACGAGCTTTTTTCTTGTGTTTTCAAGGCTGGTCGATCCACCAAGTGTGTACGCATCTGTCGGTTATCTTCATGTGCCGTAAAGGCTATATTCCGAGCGCTATAGGCACGTAGATCCATGCAGCGATCCGCGGCGCCCAGTCCATTTTAATGAAAGTGCACGAAATAATCATTATCCGGATGAGGCACTCGCGCTTCCTCAGGCATTTGTATTGGACTTCGCTGGGAGCTCTGCCGTAATTTTAAAATTAAATACAGGTCGTGAGACACCCTCTTTTTTACTGACCGTTGCCGCGAGAGTTTGAAATGCTCGCATTTCATTGGGCGAGCGCTCGAATGCTTGCAATCGCCCGACGCCCAGTCGTCCATCTTCGCGCCCGACCGAAGCGGGAGCTCCAAGTCGCGACGGACAACCAAGTCGCAACAACTCTATGGCATTTCTTTAGATTAGGGCGCTCCGAATACTAACTAGGCGGAGGAAGCAGGGACAACGACGGCAGCGTTGTGGTTGCAGGTAGTCGATCGAATCGAAAAATAGGTCAACTGATGGCGCAGTTGTCATGCGTGAGCTTCCCGCGCCGCTCGCGCTCGAGGAGCTCGCGTTGCGTCATGGAAGCTACCATGTTCCTCGGTGACCAAGGGACAGAAAGCGAGAGAGACGTACGGTTGAGGGTCATGATGAGCGCGTCCCGCGCAATCGTCTCGAGAGCGTCCGACGTGTTCTCGGACGTCTTTGCACTCGTCTCGATGAAGCGGCAGTTGTACTGCGACGCGGCCGCTTGACCGTCTTCCGAGGGTACGATGCGCGTCGGCAAATCAATCTTGTTGCCGACCAGCAGCATCGCCGGCATGTTGGGCGTCGAGTACTGCTGGATGTTCTTCATCCAGTAGCCCACGTCTACAGTATCAATCTATCAGGACATCGCACAGAGAAACGACGTACTGTCAAAGCCGCGCTTGTCGCTCACGTCGTAGACGAGGATGATACCGTTCGCGCCCTTGTAGTACGCTAAGAATGAGGATAAGCAACCATAGAACCATAGCGAGATGCTCGTACTGGACGTGATGCGGTGGAAGCGCTCTTGGCCGGCCGTGTCCCAGATCTGGAGCGCGACGTCGTGCTCGTCTTCGAGGCGCAGCTGCCGCAGCTTGAAGTCGACGCTACGCAGGGATAGATGAGCACCATTCCATAGAGCGAGAGGAGCGGATCGACGTACCCTGCTGTCGCCAACATCGACTCGGAAAACTCGTCGCCAGAGAAGACGCGCATGAGACTCGTCTTGCCGACGCCGCTGTCGCCAAGCAGCAAAAGCTTGATCTTGTGGGGCTTCTTGACGACCGTCTTGGCCTCGTCGTCCGTGGCTGACGCCGAGAGCGAGGACGGCGCGCGACCGAGCGAGCTGCGCCCCGTGGTGGCCTTTGTGATCGAGCTGCGGTTCGAGCCGCCGCCGCCGCCCTTCGGGCCAAACTTGGTCAGGACCTTGGACTTGAATCCTGAGAGAAGCGACGACTTGGCCTTGGCGGGCGCGACCACTTCTTCGACGACAAGCTCGGGCGCTGGCGTCATCGGTTGCCGTTCCTGCTGCAGCTTGATCGCCTCTTCTTCTGCCATCTTCTTCTCTTCCAGCTCTTCCTCGGTCATGCTCTTCCTCTCGAGGTCGTCGCCCGTGCGCATGGCGAGGCCTTGTGACAGAATGTCGAGCGCCTTGGCACTCAAGGCGCCCGTCTCGGCAGGGTGCTGCGCTGCGCGGGAGCCCGACCCGTCGTTGAACGTGATCGAGTCGACGTCGACGGGCGCCGAGCCGGCGAGGTAGATCTTGGTCAGGGCGGCGGCCTGCCGCGAGACGTCGGTGCCCGAGTAGCTGTCGTCGACAGCGTCGAGGGGCGGCGAGAGCACGTTGTCGCTCGAATCGTCGACGAGCTCGGGCATCTCGCGAGCCCGCGAGTGCGACCGCGACCGCCCATAGTAGCCATCCGCCTGGTCGTCGCGCGGGGCCTCGCCGCAGAAGGAGCGGCTGCGGCTGCGGCTATCGCGCTGGTCGAGCATCATCTCCATCTCGCGCTCCCACGCGGCTTGCTCCTCGGCCTCATTCATACTAGAATAGCTCCAGTTTGCTGTTGTTCAACTGTGGCCCCGAACTGGGCACTCACCCGAGACACTCTGAGAATGCATACCCTAGAGTTGTGTGTTCTATGGAAAAATATACTGCCTATGGCTAATCACACGCGCCTTAATGCTGGTCCAGGCCACCGACACGTAGCATCATGCTTCTCAGTGGCACTGCGAGCTCGTCGATCGGGGTATACACTGACCACGTACTACCAAGAAGACTTATGCAAAGCGCTACGCCAATTTGAGTCCAGCTTTTGTCGCGCTGAATTCTAGAGGCTACGTCGTCCAGGGCGTCGTCGCAGGTCGCAGCTGGGCCGCGGGAACGAGCCGGTCGTTGCTGCCACACGCTTGTCGCTTACGCGACGATGGCTTCATCGCTACAGCGTAATGCGGCGAGATGATGATGACAGCGTCGGTCCATCCACCGCCAACCAGACTGATATTGCGCTAACGTTGAAGCAGGACGTATCATAGCACTGCACCCGAGGCGAGGCGTGCGACGTGGCACTGTCCACCTCTCCAAGCAGGCGTGGCACAGAGAGACAAGGGCGCGTTGATGCATCTTGACGCCATGCCTGCGACGTGAGATCGAGCAATTCGTACTGCCGGAACGAATTGGCGCGCTAAAACGTACGCGTTAAAATATGTATTTTTAGAGGTTTGTCGCTTGGTGGTGGTCACAACAACAAGACCAGCGATGGGCCGACTCGCAAGCAAGCGCAAGATCAAGCAGTGCGACCCGTTCTTCAAGGGCAAGCGCGAAGGCGAAGGCGACAAGTACGACAGAGCGCCAACGGTCTCGAAGCGCAAGAAGCGCAAGGACCGCAAGATGCTGGACCAGGCGGCCATCGACCGCTTCGTGCTGGGCGGCGACGCCTCGTCGTCCGAGGCGATCCAGGCCAAGAAGAAGCGCAAGAAGAACGAAGGCGCGCTCGGCGACGTCGAAGGCCGGCGGCCGGGCGAGAGCATGCGCGCGTTCAACCAGCGCATGGGCGTCGAGGTGCGAAAGGTGCTCTACCAAGAGTCCAAGAAGGACCGCAAGTCGAATGTCAAGAAGAAGGAGTTCTTTAGCGCCAAGAAGGAGAAGCTCAAGCGCAAGAAGATGACGGACCAGGAAAAGTACGACCTTGAGTACCAAGAGACGGGCTCGACGAAGCGCGATACCTTCAGCGCGACCGAGAAGGTCCGGTTCGGCGACCGGTACGACGCGCCGCCGATCCTGCCCGTGCTCAAGGGCGTCTTCAAGAAGAAGGCCGAAGCCAAGTCGAAAAAGTAAATCGCCGCAAAATAGAGTCCCTTGTACACTTGAGTCGTCCTTAGCTCGTGCCCACGCGGGCCTCGGCCGCTGCTTGGTCGACGCGCTGCGAGGGCACCGAGAGGAGGAGCCCGAGGACCTATAGAACGATGCAACAGTCACACCCGCAACAAAGACGTTGCATCGAGTACCTGTGCCAAGCGTGCGACGTCGCCATGGCAGGCCTCAAAGCAGTAGGCATGGGCGTGCCACCGCAGCGACAAGAGCTCGTCGTAGAGCGGCTACGCAGTAGTAGGGATGGCAACGCTGTCCATGGTCTCGCCTGTGGTTCGCACCTGTGAGTAAGGCGCTGCGTTTGGGTGCAGGAAGAGCAGGTCCACGCAGAGCGCCGCGTCGCCTGCCAGTGCTTGTAGCCGGTCGCTGAGCTGCCGTTCCATGCCACCGTCGGTCGGCGCTAGCACCCAGAGGACGTGCGTCGTCTCGCTGCTCCTGGCGCGGGCTACCTCGTGGCCGAGCACGCGCTTTGTGGCGGCGAACTGCTGCAGGAGCGCGTCTTCTTCCGGATCGAGCCCATCGCCATCGACATGCAGGTAGACATGGTCCATCGTCGTCGTCGGCGCAGAGGCAGGAAGCACCGCGTAACAAATCGACGTAACACGCGATCTTGCCCGGCTCGCAGCAGCATTCCCTCGCTATAGGGACTTTTCACATCCATATTGGCCGTTATGGTCGCGTGTGGACCGCACGTTGCGGTTGTGAAAGATACACTTGCCTTTGTATGCAACGCCGCCGCGTGGAATATTAAAATATTGGACTATACAAAGTCCAAGTCATATGTGCTCGCATATTGGTGCGGCCCCGGCGAGGCCACGACATCCTCGCCATACACAGTTGATGCGCGCTGTTGCTATCGGGGATAGCTTGGAGGGCCACCCGCAGATAGCTCGTTATACCGCTTGCGTAGGCGTCTGCGGGCGACGGCGTCGCAGGGGTGCGGGAAGGTCCGTATTCCGAGGTCCGTATCGCAAGGTGGGCGTAATGGGCTGGGGTCGAAAGATCGTTTTTTCATCCGCATACAAACATTGAGTGATAAAATGCGCGGGTGCAAATATTGGCGGCAATATATTCAATATTTTGACGTCAGTGTGGATGAGGGAGGCGCCCATATTGGATTTGAGCAGGCCCATGGCGCATATCAAGCCGGCGGCAGCGCTTCCAAGCCATGAGCGCTTCCAGGCGCGGGCGCCGACGGACATGAGCAACCTCTCCATCAACCAGCGCCTGGTCATGGAGAACAAGAAGCGGGCGGCTGCGCTCCGGCGCCGCAACACGATCGAGGTCGAGAAGATGCTCACGGCGGCGCCGGTCGAGGTCGGCGCGCAGATCTGGCTGCCGGACCCGGAGACGGTCTGGCGCATCGTCGAGATCGTCAAGTACCACGAAGAAGAGAAGGGCATGATCGTCACGGTCGTCGGGCCGCGCGGCCAGGAGCAGGTCGACATGCGCGACCTTGGCGACCTCTACCGCGTCAACCCGCGCGTCGTCGACGACATGACGTCGCTCTACTACATTCACGAAGCGGGTATCCTCGAGAACCTCAATGTGCGCAGTCGCCTCGACAACCAGCGCCCGTACACGTTCATGGCCAACGTGCTCATCGCGGTCAACCCGCTCCGGAAGGTCGTCGAGCCCCACATCAAGGACTACGTCAAGACGCAGATGGGCGACCGCCCGCCGCACCCGTACGCGGTCGCCGAGGTTGCGTTCCAGCAAATGTCGCTGCGGTCGCCGTCGCAGTGCCAGTCGATTGTCATCTCGGGCGAGTCGGGTGCTGGTAAGACCGAGACGTCCAAGATCGTACTGCGCTACATCACGACGCGCGAGCACATTCTGAGCACCGACTCGGCGCCGATCGCGAGCTCAAAGCTCTCGTCGCAGGAGCTCGACCGCCGGCTCTGGGACACGAACCCGATTCTCGAGGCCTTTGGTAACGCCAAGACGCTGCGCAACCACAACTCGTCGCGCTTTGGCAAGTTCATGAAGCTCCAGTTCTCCGACTCGGGCAACCGGCTGCACCTCATGGGCGCGTTCATCGAGACGTATCTCCTCGAGAAGTTCCGCGTCGTCGCGCAGATCCCGAACGAGCGCAACTTTCACATCTTTTACTTTCTCCTTGCCGGCGCGTCGGACGAGCTCTCGGCCAAGCTCTCGCTCCAGAGCCCGACGGACTTTTTCTACCTCAACCAGAGCGGCTGCGTGAGCGACCCCAACATTGACGACGAGCTCCTCTTTGACGACGTCTGCAGCGCGCTCAAGACGGTCGGCGTCGACGCCGACAAGCAGCTCGCGGTCTGGACGCTCCTCGCGGGTATCTTGCACCTCGGCAACGTCGTGCTCGTCAACCGCGAAACGTCGGAAGGTGACTGCGCCGAGGTCTCGTCGGCCACGACACCGGCGCTCGGTACGTGCGCCAAGCACCTCGGCGTCGACAGCGCGCACCTCGAGCGCGTCATTACGCAGCGTGAGATTGAGACGCGCGGCGAGAAGTTTGTCATCAAGCGCAACGCCAAGGAGGGCAGTTATGTCCGTGACGCGATCGTCAAGTCGATCTACCAGCACCTCTTTGACTGGATCGTCCAGCACATCAACGTGGCGCTCGGGCACGGGCCGCCGGAGCTGCCGTTCATTGGTGTCCTCGACATCTTTGGGTTCGAGTCGTTTGCGATCAACGATTTCGAGCAGCTCTTGATCAACTACGCCAACGAAGCGCTCCAAGCGACGTTCAACCAGCAAGTCTTTATCGCCGAGCAAGAGCTCTTTTTGCATGAAGGCATTGACGTTGGGAAGATCCAGTGGCCGGACAACCGCGACTGCATCGACTTGATCGCCGCCAAGCCCAACGGCGTGCTCGCCCTTCTCGACGCCGAAGCGCGGACGCAGAAGCCGTCGGACGACAAGTGGAATGCGACCTTGCACAAGACGCACGCAGGCCACGCGCACTTTTTGGCGCCGCACGAGAAGGACAAGAAGTTTGTCTTTATCATCAAGCACTTTGCGACCATGGTGCCGTACACGATCGGCAACTTTATCGACAAGAACAACGACACGATCCCGAAGGACCTCGAAGACCTCGTGCTCTCGTCGACGTCGTCGCTCATGGCGCAGATCTACAAGGACGGCGCCGACCTCCCATCGACCGGCTCGTCGCTCAAGAAGCCGAGCGTCTCCAACAAGTTTTGCGACCAGATGCACGCGCTCGTCGACACGCTCAACGCGACGCGCTGCAACTTTATCCGGTGCGTCAAGCCCAACCCGACCATGGCGCTCGGTGTGTTTGACAATGGCTACGTCGTCGACCAGCTCCGCTGCACGGGCATGCTGGCGACGTGCGAGCTCCTCAAGGTCGGCTTGCCCACGCGCGTCTCGTACGATGAGATTTGCCGCATCTACAAGCCGGTCCTGCCGCCCAACGTGACGCCCATGTTTGCGTGCTACAACGAGCGCACGTTCACGGAAGCCGTGCTCTGGGCCTTCCGCGTCGACAATGACGCGTACCGACTCGGTCGCACGCGCGTGTTCTTCAAGACGGGCAAGATTGCGCTCCTCGACGCGCTCCTCAAGGTCGACATGAAGAAGATGGGCCCGTGGATCGTCGCGCGCCTCAAGAAGTGGCTCGCGCGCCGCCGGTGGCGCTACGCGACCGCCAAAATCCTTGCGCAGCGCGCATTCCTCTGGCTCCTCGAGCAGACGCGCAAGCGCAAGGCCGCGATTCTCAAGCTGCAGTCGGTCGTCCGCATGTACAACGTCCGCAAGCAGTTTCTGCAGAGCCGCACGCGCCACCGTGAAGCGGCGAAGCGCAAGCTCGCGGCGCAGCACCGCTGGAAGATTGCGATCGCGCACGTCCGTGGCCGCGTCGCGTTCTTGGAGCTCTTTGCCAACGCGCGCGCCAAGCTCGCGGCCGAGCAGGCCCGCATCAACCGCGCGGCTGTCGTGCTGCAGGCTATTGCGCGCGGGAAGCTCGCGCGGCGCGAAGCCGACCGCCTCCGCCGGCTCGCCCAAGACGCCGCGATGCGTATGCGCCTTGCCCAGGAAGCACGCGCCCGCGCCGAAGAGTCCAAGAAGACGGCCAAGAAGCGCTGGCACGCGGCACTGTACACGATCATGGCCCAGCGCCACTTTGTGCAGCGTCTCGTCAAGATCCGCAACGCCCGTCTTGCGGCCGAGAAGGCGCAAGCCCGCCAGCGCGAAGAGATGGAGGCCCGCCGCCAGGTGGAGGCAGCCGAGCACGCGCGCATGGCGTACCTCCAACTTCAGTCGGCGATCAAGATCCAGGCGGCGTACCGCGGCAAGCTCGGCCGCGACGAAGCCCGGCGTGTGGCCGCGGTCGTCTACGCCCAGCGCGCGGCCGAAGCCGCAGTGCTCGCCGCTGAAGAAGCTGCGCGGGCGGCCGAGATTGCGTCGGAAGCGCACCAAGCCGAAGCCGCCGCGCTCCGCAAGCTCGACTCGCTCGAGGCGACGCGCAACGCGACGATTCGGTCGGTTGGCCTCGCGAGCGCCGGTGTCATGGGCACGGCCGGCGTCCACGGTGTCGCGGGCGAGGCCTCGGCCATGGGCGCGATGGGCTCGCAGGGCGTCGCTGGTGCCGTCATGGGCCACCAAGAGAGCCTGCACGAGCCCGATCTCAGCTGGATGCCGCAGGACGCGCCGATCGTCTCGGAAACGACCGTCGGCGATGCGATGCGCGCCGAGCAGCTCGCCCAGGCCGGCCGCGACCTCTTTGGCGAAGAAGGCGCCGAGGTTGTCGGGCCGCTCGAGAGCGCTGAAGACGACAACCTGCGCAACCCGGTCGAGCGCTTCCAGGAGTTCCCGACGGGCCCGCCGATCCCGTACAAGGGCGGCATCTTTACGTGCACGCTCCTCGGCCACCGCAAGCTCCAGGACGAAAACTGGGGCGACGAGTACACGGAGTATGTGCTCCGCGTCACGTGGGGTCGCGACATCCTCGAGCAGTCCAAGACGGCGTGGCTCGTCGGCGGCCGCTACAACGACTTCAACTCGCTCCACCAAGAGCTCAAGGCGGCAGCGTCGGGCAAGCGGGGCAAGCGCGCGCCGTGGTTCCCGCGCTTCCCGAAGCGCCACCCTTTCTCGTCGCTCATTGGCAAGAACCAGGAAGAAAAATTCATCATCAAGCGCGAGAAGGAGTTGAACCGGTACATGACACAAGTGCTCACGCAAATGCCGGACGCGCTCTTGAACGTGCACATGGACCGCTTCCTCCAGCTCACGCTGCGCACGTCCGACATTTGCGAGCGCGAGGCGTTTGCCGAGGCCCGCAAGGCGTGGGAAGAAGAGGAGCGTCAAGCGATCGCGAACGCTGCGGACGCCGAGCCGCTCAACGACGCCGAGCTCCACGAAGTCGAGCAGCTCGTCCACGAGCTCTTGGAGAAGGTCATGTACAGCCAAGGCGACATTCGCAACGACAATGGACTGCAAGAGATGATCCACGCGGTCAAGGTGCTCCAGCCGCGCGTGACGGCGTCGGCGCAGATCGGCGCAGGTGTCAACATGGAGCTTGTGCCGCTCGCGATGCAGCTCCAGGACGACATTCAAGACGCGTTTAGTCAGTACAACGACACGCTCTTGGCGCTCCGACTCGACCAAGACTTTCACTAAACGATAGTGTAGCGCAACGGAACGCTGCCCCACGACGCTCCTCGTAGCGTAGATAAGAAGCCAACATCATGCATTTTGCACTTGTTGATATCTCGCTTGGTTGTTGGCAACAGGACGAGGTTCGAGTCGGTCTGCGAGTGGGTTCGACTACAAGAGGGATCGCTGAGCTCACTGGAAACCACCCGGGCGTAACATGGCCTTTTAGTTAGTTAATGCAAATATGACTTAGGAGAAAAAACGTTTGATTGATTGAATGTTATGGGGACTACAAAGCGAGCCGGGCGGGCCGAGCTATCGATGTAGTTAAAGGGCTGCCTAAAAGACAAGAGGAGAATGAATATGCAAACCGTTGGTGAAGCCTTGCACAATACCGAGATGTGCAGTCTTGAGCAACACAGCCTGCATCTGTCGCGCGCGAGACAGGCGCGGCGGTGGTCGGATCCGAGACAGGCGCGGTGGCGGTTGCGTCGGCGACAGGCAGCTCGAAGATGGCCAGAGCGACATTCGAAACGATGATACCGAGGCGCAAACCGTCGACGTCCTCCATGCCCGCGAAACACACCTTGGGTGTCAAGAACGCCTCGCTCGTAGAGCAAATCGAAGCGAAGCGGACCTGCGCGCCGCCGGTCGCCAAGACGACGTTGGCAAAGCCCTCGCCGTGCACGACGTAGGACGTCTGCGCCTTGCACAAGCTCGCTGTGTATAGGGCTGCCCACGTGCTCTTTGAGGCGTCCGGCAAGTCGCCGGCGGCAATGGCCTTGGCGAGCTTCGCACGCGTCGAGGTCGGCCGCCAGCCCGGCCTTGACCTTGACAATGGCTGCCATCTTGTCGACCAGATTGGGCAGTGGCACGACCTTGTCGCGGTGGTCTCCCGCGGACCTGCTGCCATGATCAGAGCATCTCCATCCGACGTCCTATTTCCTATTTTCACGGAGGGCTGTGATTGGTGGATCCTATCGTGAAATAGGAATAGGTTTGCCATCTTCACCCGTCCATCCTATCCAAGCGGCATATACCGGATAAACTCGAATTAACCGGCTTCGCGCCTTTTTGTAAGCTCTCTTGCGCGCGCACTCACTTCGGTATTAGCGCCAATGCACCGTAACTGGCGCGAGTTCTTGCTCGATGACGACGACGATGACGAACTCGTGCACGAGGTATTTCACCGACCGAACAAGCGACGCCACGGCGGCGGTGTTGTTGGTCGCAAGATGGTAAAGCGCGACATCGCGTCCGGCCACAGCAACATCATGCGCGACTACCTCAGCCCCGATCCAACCTACGGCGAGACCCTCTTCAGACGTCGGTACTGTCCCTACCATGGCGTTGTGCAATGCCTTACCTCGTGTAGATTCCGCATGTCCAGTGCAATGTTTCGCAGAATCGTCGGCGACCTCGAGAGCGACAGTTTTTTTGCGCAGCGACGCGACAGAGCTGGCCGTCTCGGGGCGTCACCGGAACAGAAGATCACGTTCGCTTTGCGTATGCTTGCGTATGGAACGCCCGCTGACGCGCACGACGAGTATCTTCGATTATCGGAGACCACTGGCCGTAAGTCCTCGACTGCTGAGAAGTTCGTTGATGAGGTTGATTCGGTATCTTGCCAAATAGAAAACTCACTCGTACGCTTCTGTGCAGCAATTGTGGAAACGTACAAGCACGAATATCTCAGGGCGCCGACCCGAGAAGACCTAGAGCAACGACCTCGTTCCAAAACTGTGCCGCCTTCTTGTCGGCGCCTTCAGTCGAGCTGGTGCTCACCGACATCCAAGCTCGCGCAAGCGTGGCGACCTCCTCTGGTGTCCAGATCTTTTGGCGACCCATTGCTATAGTGGGTCCAGGGAGCACAAGCCAAGGAACGCCCAGTACCTTTTTATAGACGACGCCTTCGGCGCTCGTGGATGGACCCCATTCGATGCTCCAATCAGATCCACGGGATAAATAGGACAGCCAATGGTACGGCAATATTTTTTAGGCTAAGCCAATCAAATCGCCTAGAAATAGGATTTGGCTTCTATTTCGCGACGATTTTGACCTATTCGGTACCGCTTAGGACGAAAAAACGGCCGAATTCCTATTTTT